GCTGGGATTCAAATTTGATCTCTCAACACCAGAAACAGCTCTTGCCAATGTGATCTTGCCCTTCCCTGGGAGACAGCGCCCCTCGGTGTTGACAGGAGGTTGGGGGGCGGGGGATCGCAGCATGCCTGGCCCAAGAGGCAATGCAGAGCAGGAGCAGAAATATAGCAAGATGGTTACTGGTAAAGCTTGAAAGGCTCATCAATCTCAGCTAAAGAGGTTGACTGCCGGCCATGCTTCTATGAAAACTGTAGAAAGAAAATGTAAAGGATGAAAAGTGACATAGATCCAACATCTCCCAAAAAACTGATCTTCTGCCAGCACTGCACTAGTTAAATCTCAGGAGAACAAGGAAGTCACATGATCTAAATGGTGTTCAATTACCATTAACTTGGCAGCCAGGCACAGATTTATGACAGGGAGAAAGAGGCTGCAGGCAAGGAAACCAGTTAGAAGACAATCACAGACGCTCATTACCTAGATGATGAGCCTGAGTCAGAGCAGGCGGTGAGAACAGGGAATAGAGGGACAACAGTGCATCTTACTGGAAGGAAAAACAGACACGCCCTAGGGACCTGCTTGGTCAAGACTATGGTTGATGATGACTCTGAGATGGAAAAAAGACAGGGCAAAGGGCACTCCAGGGCCAAGTACCAGCCACATCCCTGCACCCTCAGGTGCCTGTCTTCTCACCAGAGCACAAGCCCTGAGCAGTCAGGGGCGCTCCTTGGCTCTGTCACTCCACAGGTTTTTACTGCTGCTGACCACAGGCCTGATGTGAGATGGACTCAATGAGTATTCCCAGCAGGCTCTTTCCTCTGCCTGAAATGTCCTGTCCCCACTGTCACCTAGAAATTCTACATAGAAAGAGCCCTGTCAAGGCTCAGCACCAATGTCTCTTCCTCAGAGAGAACTTCCTTGACCGACCAGATGGCCTAAATTACATATTCCTGCTTTCTCTCCATAGAAACTTATCTTCACAGTATGTATTTTAATGTGTAATTTTCTAATTACAATTTGTATTTTTTATTTATTTTTAAATTTTCTTATGTTTTTGTTTTTCTACCTACCCTCACTAGACTGACTACAAGCTCCAAAAGTCTGTTTTCCTTTTCATCAGTGAATTCCCGGCAACCAGCACTGTGCTGCCCAACAGAAATAAAATGTAAATTACATAAGTCATCTTAAATTTTCAGTAGTCACTTTTGTAAAACTGAGAAGAAATTGGTGAAATATGGCTTAATAATATATTCTATTTTACCAAATATATACAAATGCTATCATTGAAACGTAAACAATAGAAAAAGATATTTAAACATGTGATCAATTGAAAAATTATTAATAAGAAGGCTTCTGATTTTTTTGTTTGTTTGTATCAAGTCAAAATTTGCAAAATACTGGAAAAATAAGAACACAGGCTAGGAATTTAAAAGCAAGGCTTAGTCCTTCATAAGAATGTCACTGCAGGAAAGAGAGCTCACTTGAAGACCACCTCAGAAACTCATCAAAAGTTGGTATGTTGGGCTGGGGTTGTGGCTCAGAGGTAGAGCGCTCGTCTAGCATGCATGAGGCACTGGGTTCAATCCTCAGCACCACATAAAGTAAAATAAAGACATTGTCAAAAAAAAAAAAAAAAGTAGGTGTGCACCGGGCATGGTGGCTCAAACCTGTAATCCCAAGAGTTTAAAGCCAGTCTCGGCAAAAATAAGGTACTAAACAACTCAGTGAGAACCTGTCTCTAAATAAAATACAAAATAGGGCTGGGGAATGTGGCTCAGTTGTTGAGTGCCCCTGAGTTCAATCCCTGGTGAACCTCCCCCCAAGAAAAAATTGCTGGTGTTCTACTGGGAAAACCTCCACAGGCTCCAAAGTCTCTGGCTTCCTGATCTCAGAAAGCAAGCCCTGGGAACAGTGGTTTGGGGACAAGGAATAGTGTTAACTACACAACTTCTGTGTGTGTTTCATGTAGATAGCACAACTCAGTTGAGACTTGCACACTTCAAGTGTTCCATAACCACATGTGGCTGGTGTCCAACATACAGGACAATGTAGATCTTGTGGGATGCCTGACATATATTACTTAGTTAATAAAGAGTTGGATAAAAAAGGGAGATGGGAAGAGAAGAAAGAATGAGAAAAGAAAGACAACAGAAAGGAAGCAAAACTTACATTTGTTGACTAGATACTATGTTAGATTGTTTCATATCAATAAATTATGTTAAAAAATATTGAAAGAACTGGGGAAGTAGCTAAGTGGTAAAGCACACCTGGACTCAATCTCTAGTACAAAAATAAATAAATAAATTCATTTAATGCTCACATCAACTCTTATGAAGTAGGTATTAGAACCACCTCAATCAATAGACACCCATTTGGAGATGTTATTGAACTTGCCTTAGATCATATTGTCTTTTGAACTAAAGAAAGAGGATTCAGAACATAATCTCCTCCTCCTTCCTCTTGCACTCCATTGCAAGTCTAGCCAAAACAACTGCAAATCTAGGCCTCTGTCTCCTCCAGATGACCCATTCCAGGGTTCCTTTAAGATACTGTTTTGAATGCCACAGATGCACTCCTTCAAAAAGTACAGTCTGATCACTGCAGGATAATGGGGGCAGGGGGATCTCTCCCCCCTTCTGGAGGGATCCTACTCTCATTTTCTGCTAACCCCTTGCAAAGACCAAATTAAATAGTGGCACTGGACATTACCCAAATATGCCAAGCTTAGCAGAATCATGGTCACACCAAAAGACAACCTCCTAGCAGGGTCTGTGCCTCTAAGGCCATAAACACAGATGTGCTGGGAGCATCTCCCTCAGGACAAGGGTTTGGTCACATTTCTATCATCAGACAGAAAGTCAAGTAGTCACCCTGGACCTGAGAGAAACTGAGGATAAACACATCTGTGAGAGCACCCCATATTGATTACTTGTTAGGCCATTCCAAGAAAATTTAAATTTGCTAACAAAGACAAATAGAGTTAGCAACATAAAATAAGGTAAATGAGAAGAATGGGAAACAAAGGCACATGAGTATTCTGGAGTAGGGACAGAAAAAAATCGGCAGAAAGTTAATGATCTCTGCCTTTACCTTGCCCCACCTCATTCTTTATTGGTCATACATGATCCTATCTCTCTTGGAAAAGCCACCAAAGTCCACCTTCATCCCATTGCTAGTTTCAGTGGCCAATTCTGCTCTCATCTTACTTGAGCCACTGGCAGAATTCCACAGTGCTCCCCACGCCTCCTCTCTGAAATATATTCTTCCCTTGTTTTTTTCCTATTCATGGCACTCTCCTTTGTTTCCGGTATATCCTAAACTCCAGGCTCTTATAATTGGGAGTCCTGGGGACCTGTTTTTAAAACTCTTTTCTATCTACCCTCAGCTCTGGGGGATCTTATCCTGTTCACAGCTTGGAATGCTGTGCCACGTGCCTGTGTTTCCCAAATATTTATCTTTAGTTTCAGCTACTCCCCAAATTATAGAGTTCTGCAATTAACTGTACATTTAGCTTGTCCATTCAGATGTCTACTACACTCTTCAGACTACAGACTGTCCAAAACAAAGCTCCCAACATCTCCAACTAGATACGCTCTACCATAGTCCTCCCCAACTGTGACAACTCCATCTTCCCTGTTACACCAAAAATTTGAATCATCCTTGACTCACACATCCAACCCATTAGAAAACTCCATTGGCACACCTCCAAACAATGTCACAAATATGCCACTTTACCACTTCTCCTGCTACCACTCTGAGCCAGACCTGAACTATTGTGACCATCCCCCAAGGGGACTCTGCCTCTGCCCTTGCCCCTTTCAGACTTTCTCAACACGGGAGCCAGGTTGTCCTGTTGAGGTGAGTTGGGCCCAAGTCCTCACAGGGCCCACATGGTCTGCAGGAGTTAGCCCCATCACTTCTCCCACCTCCCCTCTCAGATTCTCCTCTCTATTGGCTATCCTGGCCTTCCTGCTTCTTCTTCAACACACCAGCCTCACTCCCATCTGAGGGCCTCGGTACTTGCTGCTGCTTCTGCTTGAACACAGCCTTTCCTCTAAGGATATGTCTAATGATACTTTGTCAATGACGTCTTCTCACACCATCTTATTTTAAACTCCCTCAATGCCCCATTCCCTTTTCCTGCTTTATCTTCCCAATAGTACACCCCCTTTAATACCCGACATAACTCACTGACTGCTGTGTTCATTGCATCCTCCCACCCATGGCTAGTATGAATGTTCTATGATTTGTTTCTGTTTTTCCTTATCATTTAATTCCTAGCTTTTAGAACTACGTCTGGCATATAGTAAGTTTCCAGTACAAAAATATTGGATAAATAAATGAATGGATAGATGAGTAGATAGACAGATAGATGGGTGGTTGGATAAAATTCAGAATAAAGAGCAGGCCTTATGAATAAACTGCCAGATTCTTAATGGCCCCAGAAGAGGAAAATGTCACAGAAATCAATTGAAATAGATTCATCATTAAAGAAACATATTTGGAACATCTACTTTGCCTTTCCAACCACAATGCTGGGTTCCAGCATAAAATGAAGTGAAATGTGCACAGAACAATTAGAATTGGGCTAGTCTTAAATGTGCCTCAACCAGTCACAACACCCAGTAAGCAGACTCGGGAGACACTGGTGGCGTGCATGAGTCAAGACTTGTAAGCCATGGCTCCAACACTGGGGAAGCAGGGTGGAAGAAGAGTTGACAACTTAAAGGAATAAACTTTTATAGTGTTCAGCCATGAGCCAATCACTGCACCAGACTCCTTGCTAACATTACCTCATAAAAAAAAAATTCTTACCACCCTGGGAAGCTGATATTACATCCATTTTACAAGAAAAGATACTGGAGATCAGAGAGATTAAGTTACTTGCACAATGTTACAAATATATAGGAGAGTTCAGATTCAAATTAGTTTTATGTGAATGGAAAGTTTTTTCTCTTTCTGTATTATTATACTGAAAGTTACTCCCCAAATGGCAAACTAACCTGTAAGTGTTTCCGTCCAATTTTACCTTCTGAGCCATTCATCCTGGTTGGTGTCAGTAGATCAAGCACTTTAGGATTGAGGTAGCAGGGATAACACAGAAGCAGCTAATGTTAGCCTTTGTTTCTTAGTTAATGCCGAAAATATTCTGTAATAAAAAAACAATAGTTTGAAAGTTGACAGCCTATGTTCAGTTTTACAAACACACAGGCACACACACATGCACAAATGTCTGTGTGTGTGCCAAAAGCAACTAGTAAGGAAACATAGTACTGCACTAAAACTTACCACACATTTATCTTTTTGCCCAAGTCCTCCACAGATCAAGAGTAGATGTGCAGCTCAGAGGCTCCCAATCCTGGCAAGTGCTGCTTAATGCTCAACAAAAGCCTATTTCACCAGCATCAGCATTGCCGCAGCCCAGGGAAAACCCTTTTCTTCCTCCAACTCACATGTTTTTCTTTGGGTGTTGTATTCAGTGCCAGTGGCCTGCACCTCCACCCAACCTACAGAAACCTGGCCTGTAGAACACTGCAATTAATATTTCAAGACACACAAGTCTGTCAACCCACCAGTCAAGCTTCCAGCTCACTAGAAGACACTAAGAATTCTTTATGAGCAGGGTTTCTCACATAACTGTAGTAATTACACTCATTTATATCCACTCTCACCATGACTGTCTCCTAATTAATCATTTTTATAAAATTGTTCAATTATTCACCTTAAGTGTCCAGGGTGCAAACAGGAAGTAGAAGGCTCCCACATGGAATGGCGACCCCGCCCTCATGACTTTGCTTCTCTTACCTGCAACAATCTACCAAGCCAACCAGCTCACATTCATTTCAACACACAGGAGAGCACATAATACCCTGGACTGCAACCATTACCTGAGCTGCACGTATGAAGATCGAGAAATCTCAGGAATGAATATTCATAGAATTACTGTTCCTTTCAGTGTTTGGATCTACCAGCCAATAAATTTCTTAACTAAGAAATGAGACCAATTAAGGTGAGTGTAGACTGCACCTATGAAACGTGAGGTTGTAACGTGTCTGTCACCTTACCAAAAAAAAAAAAAAGTTAACCCAAAATATTTCAAAAACTTCTTTTATTCAAAGGACAGAAGTAATACATGTTTTCAAAACTGAGTCACACCTTCTTTTAAATTTTTTTAGTTGTTGATTGACCTTTATTTATTTGCTTATATGTGGTGCTGAGAATCAAACCCAGTGTCTCACACATGCTAGGCAAACACTCTACCAACTGAGCCACAACCCCAGCTCCTGAATCACTTTTTTAACTCTAGGTTCTAAATCAGTATATAAATTATTTTGGGTAAGGAAGAAATCTCAAGAAAATATTCTATTAAAGGAAATTAAACATTAAATCAATTAAGATTTTTTTAAAGGGCATCAGTTTCATTAGAGGCTCATCTGGATACATAAACTTGGTGGAAAGTGATAAAATAGACCCTTAACCATATTTTCTCACTTACGTTATACTTTAGAGACCTGAATGCCTAGGTGCAGAACCCACAACATAATTTTTGGGCCCAGAGCAAAATGAATCTTCTAGTATATTTCTAACAAGGTTTTCAAGAAGATTGGCATGATTGTTTCTTTCCTCTTCTGTTTCTTAACCTGCATTCATTCCCTTTCAAGTGGCTTATGCACTCAATGGATCCAACTAGCAGAACTGACCATCACCACTACCTATGTCAGTCAGTCAAAATCCACTTCTCTGGGGGGCATTCTTTTTTTTTTTAAATTTGTTTTACTTAGTTACACATGACAGTACAATGATCTTGACATATCATACATTTGAATCAGATGGGATATAATTTCTCATTTTTCTGATTATACAGGTTGCAGAATCTGGGCATTCTTAAGATGATGAAATAGACTTAAACAGCATTAATTTGCTCCTCCATGGAATGGAAACAAAGCCATTGGTATTTGACTGCTCCTGGATGGGAGGGGTTATGGATTAGAACTGGAAATTGACAATAAAGAAAATAAAACCTGGTGGATTCCAGAGTCTAGGGAGAAAAACAAGAGAAGTGGAGTATCCCAGTTTCAGGCACCCAGAACCTTAGCTGCAGGAAAGGGACTCTCCCCTCAGAGCAGGTAAAGGTGAAAGAGAAAGGGTCACAGCTTTGTGCAGAAGGCTACCAGGAACATCCAAATGCCTTAAATAAATAAGTGACATGGAGTCTACATTACAACCTAGCTTTAGAGAAGACCCACATTGCACCTGCTAACCAACCCTCAGAGTGCCATGGCCAGGAGCCATCTTCAGAAGGGTCCTCTTATTAGGACTAAACTGTTCTGGGGATAAAAAAAAAAACCTAGCATAATCACATTTCAGAATCCCTTTAGACACCCTGCCACACTGAATGGGAAGGCAGCAGCCACACGATATAGCTGTGGTTTGGAAGAGTGTCTCTGTCACAAATTCCCACAGAAAGGTACATTCTGTGGGAAGCACAGGCTGCAATGGTGTGGGAAGTAGAGGGCCAGAAGTTCAGTGATCCTGCCTTCTGTGACATAAAGCAACATCAATTCTGTATTGTCTAGTTCGGGAGCAAGGTATGAAACGACTGCTAATTCTTCCCACAAGCCTCGTCCAGAATGGAATTTGATGATTCAACTGCTCCCCCAACCCTTGGAAGAATTTTGGTATCTACCACAGCTTGGATATGGGCCACATCCCTGGAGGCACAGTCTAAATCCTTCCAGAGAGAACACACCTCCAATATAGCCAAAAGTCCCTTAACATGTTTAGTGACAAAGACAGGAAACAGCCTGCTTTCGCCACAACTTTTTTGGCAAGACTTGAGAGGAATTTCAACATACTGCTGCTAGTAACAACTACCCCAACCCCATACCGGGCAGATTGTAATCATATCCAGAGAGGAGTATTTCCAAGCAACTTGGTTAGGAGAAATTTTTGACTCATAATTTTTAAAAATTTTGTTCTATTATTCTGTCATTTCCTTTTATTTCTCATTTTTTTCCTATTGTTATTCTATATTTTAATTCTTTAAATGGGTTTTTTCACTCTCTTTTCTTCTCTCTCAATCTCCCCCCACCCCCAATTTTTATTTCTGGGTTTCGGAGTGAGTCCTAAGAATTGAACACAGGGCCTCAAGCATGCTAGGCAAGTGCTCTTCCTCAGAATCACACCCCAGCCCTCCATTTTTATTTATATTTATACTGTTTGTTCCTTCTTCATTATGCTTTTTATTTTTTATTTGACTACTTTAATTCATTACTGTTGTTGTTGTTGTTGTTTCTATTATTATTCTCTCTCCCTCTTTTTTTGTAAGAGAGAGTGAGAGAGGGGAGAGAGAAAGAAAGAGAGAGAGAGAGAGAGAGAGAGAGAGAGAGAGAGAGAGAGAGAGAATTTTAATTTTTTTTTATTTTTTCTTATTTTTCTGCGGACACAACATCTTTGTTTGTATGTGGTGCTGAGGATCGAACCCGGCCACACAGGAGGCGAATGCCAGGCGAGCGTGCTACCGCTTGAGCCACATCCCCAGCCCCTCTCCCTCTCTCTTTTCTTGGTGCTTGGAATCAAATACAGGACCACACACACATTGGGCAGGTGCTGTGCCTCTGAGCTATACTCCCAGCACAGCTGAGAAGAATTCAGACCTACTTGACTCTGACAGATGCTTCTAAGACATTTGCATAAAGAAAACAAGGGACATAAACTCCTAGCTGTTTCAGACCATTCACTATGATTGAAACAGTCAATATCAGATCCCTTTCAAGTAACAGAATCAATTCTAATAGTGCCCGTGGAAATCCCCTTCACCTGATAGGGGCATCTACTCCTGTTGTTGGGATGACCTAGAGGGTGCACCCTATATACCCTTCAGTCTATACCACATCAAACTAAATTACCAGAGGGACACCATTCTGTCAAGACCTACATAGAAAGCAGATTGCTCACACTCTAATAAAGTACACATTGTGTCAAACCCTGCAAATCACAGTGAAAGAATAATCTCCACAGGGAGATTATATGACAAAGATCAATTGAAATTAAACTCAACACTACAGGAAACACTGATATCTCAAGAAACATTATAAGAGAAGGCTGCTTTTTTTCCCCTTAGTTGTAGATGGACACAAAATTTTTATTTTATTTATTTATTTTTATGTGGTTCTGAGGATCGAACCCAGTGCCTCACACATGCTGGGCAAGCTCTCTACCACTGAGCTACAACCCCAGCCTGAAGGCTGCTTATTAAGAGGCTCTCACATAAAAGTGGAAGAGTGCTAAGAGCCATAGCCAAGTAGTATAATGCATAGCATTTTTGGTTGAGGGGTGGCACCAGCAAGCCATTGAGATGATATGATTATGTTAAGATCTGTATTCATATGGATATTGGACTCCAGCTGTCCACCTTGGCCTGCTACGGGACTCCTGGAGAGTTCCCATTAGTTGGGGAGGTGCGGTAGGAGGGAATTCTGGAGGAGGGACTTCCTGTCGGGTCCGGGAGAACGCCGCGTGTGTTGGTTGACAATTTTCCTGGGAGCTTACGGGGCATTGGTGGCAGTTTCAAAAATAAAGTTTGTTCCTGCTTGAGTGGCTCGTGATTTTGTGCCCAGCCAACTGTGGCAGAAGAGATATCTGCTCCAACAGAGGCTCAAATTAGCATAGAAACACAGAAATATTTTTTAAAAGATGCTATCACACTTCCTAAACTTCATAATTCCATTGTAACAAATCTCAAATATATTGAAGTGGTTGAAATGACAGATACAGAATTCTAAATAATTATTTCTGAAATGATCAATGCCAAGACAACACAGAAAACAATTGGATGTATTAAGGAAGTTAATGCAGGATGTGAAAAAGAAATTCAGTAAAGAGAGATTTTGAAAAAGAATCAAACAGAAACCTTGGAAATAAAAGCTTAATGAAACAGGTTTTTAAAAGTTTTTAAAAAAGAAATCCGGGATCGGGAACCTTCTTTGCACTAGCGATGAAAGAACAAATTAAAAATGGGTGATGTTGAGAAAGGCAAGAAGCTTTTTGTTCAGAAGTGTGCCCAGTGCCACACTGTGGAAAAGGGAGGCAAGCACAAGACTGGGCCAAATCTCCATGGACTGTTTGGGCGGACAACAGGTCAGGCTG